CACTTTTAATTAATTAAAATATATAGTAGATATAATTTTACATGTTTTCTTTTCTTGTTACTATGCATTTGCTTTTTCATTTCTTCAATTAATTTTAGAATTTAATAAAAGTATAATAATAGTATAAAAAACATTGGCGTTGTTATTTAATAATGAATTATTATATCAGTAAAAATTATTATTTTTATAATAATTAATTTAAAATTCATATTTATCACCTATTATAATTCGTTGACAACATAAATTATTTTACGCTAACGTTAAATGAAATTAAACTCATAGTTCTAATAAGATACATTTGATAACTTTTAAGCTTGTATTTGGTGGCGAATATTTTGAATAATTTTGTGTTAAGATTAAAAATAAGTGTTAATTTTCATCCATGAAATGACAATATATAAAAGAAATTATAGAGTAAGGGGCAATAATTACAAGATGAGAAAAAAAGGGTGAAGCAATTCCGAAACTACTTTCTCCTGTGCTACTGGGATAAAAGTCTAAAACGACAATAATCGAATCACAACATGCGAGGAGGACAGAAAATAGAAAAATAAAAGAAGAAAAGAAATGAAGCCAATAAGATGCGCTTAGTCTTGAAAATAAATAGAAAGAGGACAAAACGAAAAGGGGAAGGGGCAGAGGTGGCTACTTATGCACCCTTGTGCTTATTTTTCAGACTTGAGAAGAAGCATATAAAGGTGCAAAGGGGATTGGAAATGTAATTAATAGAAATTCAGCATGTGTTGATTGCAGTGTCACTCACTCTTACACAACATGACACTGAAAACTGAGAACAACAGAGAGTACTGCATAGAAGAAATTGGTGTAGAAAGTTGGAGGAGGGTAGGGAGGGATCATCATTGCAACACACCGGATTATTCTCTGGCATGGGCCACCATTATTCCAATAGGGCAAGACTCACATGTCACCAAATCCTCTCTGTGTGTCCTCTTCTTTGATATTCCCCTGCCCTAATAATAATCTCTTCTTATCATCATCATCATTCTTTAATTTCGTTTTTCTTTTTATTTTTCCTCACCTGTGATTATAATTGTTTTATACCCTCATTAATTGAATACTCCCACTTTTTCATATTACCCATTCACCCTCCTCTTATCTATTTGCAACCTCTCTTTTTGGCTCCTAATATGATTCAAATTCTCTGTTTCAATTATCCTTTACTTTTGGATTTTACCTTGTTAGCATAAAACTAGGCAAGCCCATCAGGTTCTGTAAGCAAAACCTCATCATTGATGTCAATAACAACTTATTTTTACTTTTATCAAATCATCTCTCCTTTTCAAATTATAAAATATTTAATTATAATAATGCATTTGTGTTTATCTTATTCATTAATTAAAACTAGAACTTCATGTCCAATAAATTATGTTAATTTTTAATGTCGCTTGTTATACAAATTATCAAAATAAAAATTCAATTTAAGATACCTGTTATATCACGCCAAGTTTTGTCGTAAATTTGGGATCGTTAAATGCATTGCGGTACTATAATTATAAGCATTCCTTCTTTTAATTCACAAATCAACCACTAGGGTTTCAACAAGTTGAAAGATAACGGAAGCTTAGCACCCACTAATATCACAATCATATTATGTGATGTATTAATTCAAGCTTCCCTTAATCGTTTCTCTTTTCTCGGTCTTCAAGAGAAAAGAAAGAAACAAAACGAACGAGGACGTCTGTGGATCACGGTCCTTGAGGTTTATTTACACTCCTGCCAATGATAGCTGTTTGTTATGCGTGTTGAATCTTTGTACTTTTTATTGTTTGTCTATTTATGGTATGCATAAGTGTTGTATTATTTAACTGATAACTTCGTTTGTACACAACAAGGGGCCACAAAAGCACACATAATTGATCATATGTAGTTGTTTAGCAATATTGAAATGCATGGTTTAATCATTTAAAAATGCGTAGTAGAAATATTGAATGAATTTGAAAAAATTATCCCTTATTGACAGGCATGACACGTGCTATTGGCAGATGTTTAAACAATTCTAAATTATTTGATTGTTTTTTTGGAAGAAAAAGAGAATAAAAGAAAAGGTTACAATGAACTCTAATTCGGTAATTATAGTTATAGTTTACCTAATTAATGGAAAATTATGCTCAAAGGTCACATTCTGATTCTATTCGTAATCAAACAATGACCTTTATTTTGTACTAAATGTAGTTAAATGTATTTTGTTTCATTTTTACTTTGATCTGGTATTTAACTACTTTTTTACATTTATATAAGAGTAAAGTAAGGTACGAAGAAAATGAAAATAAGTCTTTGTCGATATATATATGTCATTAGCCATCTAGATTAAGCTAAGTAACTTGTTTTGAGGGAAATCTTTTTCTAAGCATAAATTTATACTATTTTTTTTCTTGCTATGATGTTTTCTCTGTGTTGCTTTAGTAAACAAGATTAAATGAATGCCATATGCCATTCAGGTTAATTGTTCTTTCGGTTTAGTCTTGCAAGTACGTCAAAAAGTAGAAAGCCTAGAATTACTAAGTTATAACTATATAGCAATATTTAGAAAAGATTGTAGAAGACTACTTTATTATAAAAATATTCTGTTAATTCTTCACATGAATGTGTTTTCTTTTTCGGTGTGCACCATGACTCTTTTAATACCAGATAAAATAACCTGTCACTTCATAATTTCAAATACAAAATATGACGTATGAAAGAAGCGCCGATTTCTTGAATTGATGTCATTTACTGTAAACAAAGATTAGAATGGAAAGGTTCTTTTTTTTTTTAGACATTCATATAAAACATTTTATAATAATGTAAAATAGTTCTTTGATAATGAAATTACTTGCTTTCATATCGACGATTTTTCATTTAATATATACGAAATTTGAATAAGTTTTTTTCGTTGGAAATTTAAATATTATATGTAAAACTTAGGTTGTAATATGGATCCATTTCGAATAGTCTAGCAGTTTTGAGATTCTGGGAAGCATGGATATATTTTTGAAGGATGTGAAGTTTTATGATTGTGGCAGGTAAAAGAAGCCACTAATCTTGCCACCAATTGCTCCACAAGCAAATATCATTCGTTGTTGAAAAGTAAGACAAAATAAATCAAGGAAAGAGTGGTGACACAAACGTACGATAGAACATATCTTTCATCCATTAATGGAATTTTATTTCTTTTTGGGCGGGGAAATGTCATCCTTGTGTAATGAAATCTGAAAAGTAGCTCAAAGCCACCACAAACCAAGTCCTAAAAGATATTATGGAGAATTAAAAAGAGAAAAGAAAAACGCAAAGCCAAGGCTTACAGTTATTAAAAAGACTATATTAGCCAATAAACAAAACTGCTTTGCACCCAAAGCTCAGCCAATTTTTGTTATCTTCTTCTGAAAGCTGGTAAAGAATTTATTTTGATGGTTCAGTGGTGGATTTATTCGTCATAATTTTTATTTCTTTAAGTTTTGGTTCACACAGCCATATCAGTTTTAACAAAGTATACCTTTAAGTCTATTATAAGAAAAAGTTATAACTCTCCCTAACAAATCATATCTTTGGTGTGTGTATATATATAATATTTAGAGCTTCAACATTATGATAATTTAATCTATAGAGATTTATTCTTACATAAAATAAAAGAAAAAACCTTTTGTTCTGATTGACTAGAAACTGTAGTAACGAAAAACCAAATCATTAGAAAATTATAAAAACTAATCCTCAATCATAAAATAAAAAATAAAGGAATTAACATCTAAAAAATATAATGCAAGGGCCTGGACTCAAATTAGTAAAATTAAAATTTAATTTAAATATAATTATAAGATATTGTTTGACAGAAAAAGTTACTCGGTTATAACATATTTGTAATAATTTAAATTTAAAACAATATTTATTTATTTAAAAACATTGAAATTATTTGATAAAAGTATACTATTATTCATCTAAAATAAATTAAACAAAACAGACAATTTATAACACATTTCAAGACCGATACGCCTTATGGAAAAAATACCAAACACGTAACGAGTAATAGTACAATAAGAGAAACTACACATTGTTGTATTAATTTTGACTGTCCTACATCAATAATTGGATAATAAACATTGAAGATTCAACATATCTGAACGAGTTCACATTCGACGGCTACGTAAGACGTAGTAGAAACATCAGAGAAGGAAAGACGAAGACAAAAGTTGGGTACAAACCTATGGAAAATTTCATAGGTTACACATTTGAAACAACAAAAAGAGAGTTATGTAGCGCTCAATCTTTCAAACTTCGGACAGTAACTAGAATAGAACCCGAAAGACAAGGATCGTTCTTCACATGAATGGCCTGTAACATTGCACAATGCAAACACACAATATACACATAATACATTCTCTCTCTCTCTCTCTCTCTGCTTTAATCGATGATGCTCCAAATATAGTTGATGGCAGCACTCAGCCACTCACCGACTTATCTCTTTATGAATAGTATGCTTCTTAATATTTTCTTATAACAAGCACTAGACAAGGGTTCGTACGAGGAACAGTTTTTCTTATTATTGAGGTTTTAGCCGCAGATTCGCTTTAGCATTAAACTATTGTAAATAATGGATTCCCTACGGGTTTGTCTCTGAATATATAAAATTAAATAATCATAATAACACTAAATAATCATATTTATAGCACATACAATATATAATATATGCTCATCTCGTCATAAAATTATCATTTATCAGAAGCACCCTTATTATTATCAGTATATTATAAAATGCTAATCATACGTACAATCATATCCGAGAACCTGCATTTCTGCAATAACATTAAAGATCATTTGGTCATCATCGAGTGTATATATAAGAAAGAAAGGAGGTATTTAATTTACACATATATCATACATGATTAAATTAATTTCATATCGGCTATTTAATTTTTGACAATATCAAAATATTTAAATTAAAAAAAAAAGGAAGGGTAAAGAAGAAAGAAAGAAAGAAAGAAAGAAAAGAAGAAAGATGTTAGCTGCAAATTCTAACCACCAACACCCACTATCATCAACATCATCATGATCACGATCTTAATTCATTGCAGCATCATATTCTACCATGTAATGATAACAAGTTTCTGTACCGGTTTAGTCTAATCAGAAGAACAAATCCAGGAATCAACGGTACCTTCCCCTCTAGTAGTGTTGATATTATTATTATTATTATTCTCTAAGTTGCTCTTCTCATGGTTCAAGCTTGCTGATGCAGAAGCCGCAGAAAAGTTCAACTTGCAGCTACCACCATCCAAGGACCTTAACGGAACATCTCTTCTCCCTCCTCCATCATCGTTAACATTCCTCAGTGTCACCCCGTCAGAACTTACATGAGCATGACCACTTGGAACCGATACCCCACTAGCAACAAAATTTGCATTATTCACTTGGCCATGACTCATACCCAGATCCTCAATTGAGGGTAACTTTGCACTAAACCCCGTAGGAAGATTGTTACCAAATGGGTGAAGAGGTGGTGGTGGTGGTGGAGGGTGAAATGCAAGAGGAGGGTGGTTTTGCATGCTTAGCATGATGTTCTGTGGGTTATGATAGGGTAGACCCAGATCAGGAGGTAGTTGTTGGTAGTTAACGGAGTTGTTATTCGATGAAGAATTGTTGGTAGTGGTAGTACTTGAGGCTATAGCATCAACCATGTTATTGTGCAACAACGTTGAAGGTGATGACGAGGAAGATAAAATCAATGGGTTTTGATGATGATGATGATGATGAAGTTTTTGTGGTGAAGGACGCAAAGGGTAGAAAGGAGTACCCGTTGGTGTGTCTAAGTGAGAGGTACTTGACCTTAAGGAGGAAGAGCCAGTGAGAAGATCGAGCCTGCGAGAGTAAGAGGAAGAAGCTGAAAAGGGTGGTGCAGGGATTCCAGTGAACTCTTGAACCATGGCTCTGAAATTCGAAGTGTCGGTGGTGAGAACCGTGGTTGGTGCTCTTCTTGAAGCCCTTGTTCGTTTCTTAGAGTTTCGCACAACGTTATTGCCCTGTGATGAAGAAAGCACCACTCTTGCATTGTCCGTGACTTGAGGACCCAACAAACATTGATTCATACTGTTACCTCCTGTTGTTGTTGGCGGTGTTGATGACGATGACGAAACTCCTGTGATGTCGGTGCAATCGGGTTCAGATCTTCTACCTTGAGATGACGTGGCAGTGTCCAAGTTTAGGAAGGAGTTTGGGTTTGATGAGTTTGGTTGGGGTTGAGAGAGGGCGTGGAGGTAGCTAGATGAAAGATCAAACAAAGAGGGGTGGTGTTGGGTTTGGTGGTAATGAGAAGAAACAAGTGAAGATTGTGGTTGTGAAATGGAACCAAATTGATTGAGGAAGGGTGAAGGAAGCACTGTGTGATCAGCTCGTGAATCATATTCTTCATCACCACTTGATGAGATACTTCCACTATTGCCAGAATCCATAGCTTGCAAATTAAGCAAAAGTGGGGAACAAAAGAAAAAGAAAAAAAAAAGAGAGGGAGAAGCAGAAGTAATTAAGAGGAATTAAAAATAATAAAGGTTATGTGGCAGTGAGAGGACCTTAATATATATAAGAGAAGTGGCTGCTGCGAGGAATTAAATACGTTGTTGGTGGCGGTGATAAAGAAGAAGCCATGAACGAATTCTTCTAAGGCTGTAGTAGTAATAATAAACACCCCTTTTGAAAAAAAGGGAGAACCGTATCTTTGGATCGAATCCCTGATCTGCAATGGAAGCAAATCTTTTCCTAGCTTGTCTTTCAGTAGGGAAAAAAGGTTTTCTATAAAAAGAAGAGAAAAAAACGCATAGGCATGTGTAGATCTCACTTAGGGAAAGGAAGGAGGTGAAGGTGGGAAAGATAGAAAGAAAAAAAGAAAGAGAGACGCGAGAGGTAAATTACAAAAAGGCCTAAGCCTCGAACAGGGAGTAGAAGCCTTTAGTGGGGAGTGTGCGTTTTGGATTAGGGTTTCAGGCAAAAGAAAAAACAAATAAAAAAAGGGGGAAAGGAAAGGAGAGAAAAGGTTATTTAAGCTCTGTGTTTGTGATAAGAAAAAGAGGGGTTTTTGGAAGATGAAGATCCTCTAGAGAGTGGAAGGTGGTGGGGTAGCATTGGAGTAGAGAGAAAAGCGGTTCCAGTGGCTGGCAACGGGTCAAACTCAAAGTGAATGGTGAGAGGGACAGTGTGAGAGGCAGGGGGTTGTGAATGTGAAAGGATGAAAAGGATATGTGTGTGGTGTGTGAGAGGAACTGTGTAAACTTTTAATCAGACAAGGCAAAAAAGTTATCTGCAGATAATTTTTTTAATTGATTAATAATAACCTAATTATAATTAAAGAAAGAGAGGGATAGAAAATAAAAAGTGAAAGCTAATAAAGAATTAAGGAAAACAGCCCAGATTAGATAGCAAAATTATGCACGGGGAAGTGGGGTAAGTTCATTATAATTATTATATTTTATATTATTTTTATAATATTATTTTATCACATTTCATTTTATTTTTTATCTTCCTATTCCCTTAATACTCATTTATTGGATATGAAAAAAAATACTTTCACGTCACAAAATCGGAAGCATTCATGTTTCAAATTTTACTGTAACTCTAATGGTTTTTTTTGTTTCCATGTCTATCTTTTTACTTGAGACAAATTCACTCGTTGACGTAAGATTGGACACTTGGTTTCACACGTAAACGGTTCTTTCAATAAAAATTTGAACGGTGATTTATTAGTTTATTCTTTTTCCTAAATTCACTCTGGTTGGTTAGTGAATGGACAAATTTTGAAAGGTCTTTTTTTTAAAAAAAATTACAACATGTTTCATAAACATCATATATGTTATTTTAAGAAATTTTAGATCGATTATTGAATTGCTAAAAATCAGTATTCATGAAAAAGGATTTATTTGAACTTTTTCATAAACCTTTTGAAAAAAATAATACAAATTGCATACAGAGTTTATTAAGTACATGTGTCACGTGTGGGTTAATTTCTGTCAAAAAACAATCATTTAAAAGGTGTTACTTCGAGAAAATAAAAGTCTTCACATTATCAAACTTTGTATTTAAAGGAAAATGAATTTTATTTAAAGTTACTGTTGGTGTAAATCTTATTCAATCATATGTTATTGTCATTAAAAACGTTAATTATGAGAATAACTATCCACTAAACTAAACCTTGCAATTGAGTTTTATTTTAGTAACTGAATGATTGTATAAAAACCTTACAAACTAATAATCAATCAAAATTAATATCATGAAATATTTTTAATAATATTGCGTAAAGAAATATATTCAAAATTTTGCTTAAAGACTTATGTTGTAAATTATATTTCAACCTTAAATTATTTGCTAGTACATAGGTTACTTTTTATAGTTTGTGAATAAATTATTAACAAAAATTTAAATTTTGCTTTGAAGTTGCAAACTTTGAAGTTAATAATATGCGATTAATTGCATTTTCTTTTTTGTCTAAACGAAGTTAATAATGCTTGTTTGAGAATGGAGAACGTTTAAAGTAGTTGGAAAACGTTTCTTAACTATAAGTGTCATGCAGACACTTACGTAATTTGGGAAGATATTTATTGTTTTTAAAATGTTATAATAGTATATTTCACACAAATTCAATGAGTTTTTATTTATCGTTATAATTTAAGTATAATGTAGATTTATAGCATATTTGTTTATTCATTCTACGAATGGAATGGAGTTAACACAATTAGCAAACCTAAATTACATAATTTATAATGAATGTTAAATGCCAGGAAATTATTTTTAGCTTTACAAAAGTTAATTTTTTTTTCCTAAAACGGGCTTTGATAAATTAGATTGTATTAATTTTTTATACATGAAGTATTATTCACTCAATTATAATAATGGATTTTAAGAATGTTAAGTGATATTTTCAGTGATATTGACCCTAACCCAGTGTTATAATGCTAGAGAGTTGGAATGATATTTCTTTTGTGATCTTCATATCGTTATAATGCCCATTCTTATCCAAATGAGAACAATTTTCCCTCGTAAAAAAAAAATGAGAGCAATTTTGAAAATGAAAAACTAAACTTTCATTTAAGTTCTCCCTCCTGTGATCTTTGACGCTAGAGTTAAGGAAATCATTTATATATTTAGAAAATAATATATATATTTTTTATTTTGAAAGGTTTAAATATATTTTTGTTTTCTTAATTTGACTTATGTATGATTTTTATTTTATTTTTCAAGTTAATTAGGTCTTTTTATTTTTAAAATTGCACAAATTTGATTTATTGATTTTATTCTACTTAAAGGTCTCAAATTATTATTTATTGTTTGAATAATTGAGGGTTTAATTTTATTTTTACACTGTTAATTAATTAAAATATACCATAAATATAATTTTTATATTGATTATTATAAAAATTAAAGATTATTGTTGTAGGATAATTCACATTAAATGACAATATAAAAACTTTTATATTTTCAGTGTATTTAAATTAAAATTTTGAATTTATTACTTTAGTAAATTTTGACAATATTATTATTTTGTTAAATAGGATGTGAGCTTGAGGTTTGAAGAAGAAATTTTTTTTTATATTTTGATTAAATTTTATATTTAGATAAGGAAAAAATTTAAAAATTAATTAATTCAATTTATTAATAATTTAAAAAAATGAGCAATTTAAGTAAAAAAATTTAACAGAGAAATTAATTTTGTACAATTTTAAAAGTAAATAAAACCAATTAAATTAAAAATTAAGAGGACCAAAATTGAAAATATACTTAGATTAAAGAGATGAAAAAAACAATTATTTTAAAAAAAAATAATCACAAATAATTTGAAATAAATTAAAATATCTAAATTAAAACTATTTTGGAATAGAAGAAATATACATTTGTTTGCCTATATTACCTTATCTCTCATTCATTATACTTAAGAAAGTTACTAAAAACCGACTGTAAACTTAGTTAAAAAGAAAGTAATTAATATTGTCTGAATTTTTTAAATATTAATTTAAGTAAATTAAAATATTCTAAATTAATTTAGATATTTTAATTTATTTTAAATTATACTTAGAACATTAAATTTATCAATATATATTTAAAGGCTTGATATTCATTTTATTAATTTTCATCCGTACAATTGTGTAAAGCATATTTTATATTTTATTTTGGTAAATTTACCAAATTCAAAATTTTTAAAGATTAAATGATATAATAAAAATGTTATTTTATTAATTTATTCAAACAAAGATGATTTATTTTTAGTGCAAAATAATTAATATTGGGTTTTAAGATATGCAAATGATTTAATTTATAATTCTCCAATTTAGATGAATTTTTTTGTAACAGTACTTGTAGAAGAAATAAATAAAAAGATAAAATAAATAAAATTATTCTTATAAATTAAAAATAAATTATAATATTTTATATTTTTTAAATTAATTTAAATTTTCTAAAATGTAAACTGTATATGTTGATTTTAATTTATAAAAAAATATGTTTTTCTCATACAAGTGTTTATGAAAAAGTTCACCATTAGACAATGCCTTGTGAATTGGGCTAGACAACACACAGAGTGAGATGGCCCAAAACTATGCGGAGATACTTAATTTAACATTAGGTGTTTTATTTGGACCAAAAACCACATTAGGCTATCTTTAGAAAGATAAAAAAACAATGGACTATTTTTAGTTTTTCAATTTGAAATCTGTAAGTGTCACGATCTAAAAATAAGTCTCGCACACATGCATGCTAAGTTATTTATAAATACTGCTTAACTTTATAAGTCTATTTAGAAATTAACATATAAAATAACTAAACTTTTTCAATGACAAATTTGTTAAAATTTTGAAAAATTCTTTTTTATAATTTTATTATTTCAAAATATAATAAGAGGATTAATTTATAACAAATCGGATAACTATTGTTAAATTTATAATAAAATTTAAAGTAAATATTATTTAAACAAACAAGTGTTAACAACTCCGATAAATGTAAATTATTTTTGAATTTATTCCTGATTTTAAAGATAATTTTTTTAATTTTCTTTAAGATAAGCTCTGGTGATTATTGATTTGATTTTTTAAAAATATGTTTTTTAATAGATGTTTTTTTTTTTATTATTATTATTATTATTGTGGAGATAGTTGTCAAAGTATAAATTGAGGTATGAGGTGAGTTTTTGTTTGGGGATGGGTACAACACTGACTGAAAATCGTTTTCATGGGTGTCTATTAATTTTGTATGGACATGTCTAACACAGGAAGACTTGGAAGATAGTTATCAAGTTGATTATTTATTCCTTAGTTTGGTGAGGTTGCCATTGGAAGGTTGGCACAAAATGTGTTTACCTTTTTCTTTATGTTTGGTGGTACGTAGGACGTGTTGATATTTGCAGAGGATTTTGATTCAACGTGTAACACATTACTTCTATTTGCCTTAAGTTTCAAAGGATGAAAGTAACACCTAAAATGA